TAACAACTACCCCATCCTAAGCCAAGTTTAACCTAAGATGGCATTGTCGTATAGTGGTAATCAAAGTCATATTTTACTCGGGTCCTGGTACCCTAGCCTACTTCCCACCTTGTTGTTAATTAGTTAATCGGTTTTGGAGGTTTGTGTGGAGGATATGAGAGAGTTACTAGTTTAGAGATTGATTGAAGCTAAAAGTAGGTACTTCGGGGTACTATGCATGTCTAGATACTTAGGGTTGTCTAATGTGGTGAGTGAGCTCTTTGTCCGTGGGCTTTCATGGTCATCCACATGCCTTCGAGTACGACTCCCCTAAACCCATATAAATTTACCTCGATCTAGGCTATCGTATCTGGGGCATTAAGCTTGTAGCTACTTTCAATGGATATTATCCACCATCTACACCGAGGTTTCATCACGGGTTCTATCTAGGAAGTCTACCTATAGCAGGGGTTCAACCGCCTCAACCCCTATAGGCCCCCATTTAGACATATACCTTAATTTACTTGATGGCGCATACCCATCTAACCATAGAGCTCCATACCTAGCGTAGAAACATAAAGTAGGCTAATAGAGAAGATTAGGGCGACTTACCAAAACACAATCAAGGATAGAATAGCAATAGAATCAATTAGATAGACACATTCATTCAAACCCTAAAATATCCATACATGCATAGTAAACCCTAAAACTAGGGTTTGGGGTTTAGAACCCCTAGTACCTTAGAGGACTTCTCCATAAAGGAGGGAAGAAGATACATAGAAGAAATTGAAGAAGACTTGAGGTTGAGGAAGATGCCTCGTCTCTTCTAGCTCCTTCTCCTTCTTCTCCTTTTCTCCTTCCTTCAGCTTCTCTCTCTTCTCTCTCTCTAAAACCAGAAATTCTTCTCTCAAAATCAGCTCTCCTAAAATGGGGGAAAGGGTCTTCTATCTATAGGCAATCTAGGGACGAAGAAGTTCACGATCAGTAGTGCAGAGATCGCGATCGTGATCTTCAGAGGTGAGGCTGCGATCTTGAAACACCATCGTCTTGGCCTTAGGAAATGAGGAGATCGCAGGCTGACTTCGCGGTCGCAATCCACGAGTTGCGGCCGTGATCTTCCTCGAGGTCAGAATACGCTATGGCCGTGATTCGACTGGGAAACTCTCTACTTCTCCTCGGCTCCTTCCTCGGGAAGTTCGCGCCCTAAGCCCTCCAATTCGCAGCCGCGATCTTGGGCTTCCAGGCCGTGTTCTTCAGCTTGAGTTCGCGGTCCATAGGAACGAAATATATCGACTAATACACCCTAAATCACATCGAATTCACATATGAACGAAATAGGGATGCAATCGACGATGTTCAAGCAATTATGCACATGAATAGGTACGAAACATACCTTGATATGAGGGTTAAATAACACTAATTTAGGTATTATCAGAGCACAATGCCTATAAAAGAGTCTGAATTCTACATAGTCATAGTCGATCGCTGGGGATTAGCATATCATCCGCATGTTAAGCAGAATCCTGCAGGAAGCGTTTGTTTCCTCACTCTCACCCATCATATGTACGCCTTTTTCTGGTGAAACAATCACTCATTTTCTTTATCTACATTTGTTAATTCATGGATTTCCCTGCAACATTCGCCCTTCAACTGATAGTAATCACAAATGCTTTTCAAAATCCTCTAAATACACGATTTTATGTATTTAAAGCAATAGTGTGAACTCCTCTTTCATATATTTTGTAGATTTAGAAATATACTACAAATTTGTTTAGTGTAATTAGTTAAAACCAAAGTTGTCATCTCGATTTAAACAGTTGAGTTGTTCTAGCAAGTGGTTAAAGGTTAATGATCGAATTAGCCCAACTTTACTGAGATATATGAATTTATTAGTTCCACATGTATTGTGCTTAGATATTTAATATTTTTTTATGGTAAATTTAGGTCCAGTGATATTTTAATTGGAACTTATTTTTCCCCTAGGGTAGAACTTTGGGGCTAACAACCAAACGAAAAAATGACACTTTAATTCACAAACCCTTTCCTCTTTCTTTTTATCCTTTTTCATTTTCTATATATTTTCTCCTTCTTTATATTGCTAGATTTTATATTTTATTCTCAATGTTTTATTATTTTTTTTCTCCAATTCGATTTCAAGTGCATATACAAATGAGAAATTTGCAATCTGTTAGTCACACAAAGTTCCAATCTAAATGCATGTTCCTCTAAACTTTATTTATTCTTCTTTGTATGAAATGTGGTCTATTAGGGCTATTATCACTATTATCACTTCATAATATTGTCTCCAACTATAGTAAGCGCACATAATATCATTATGTTTTCTAGTAAATCATAATTTAAGTATGTTAGTTCACATATTTATGGTATTACAAAGCAAATGTTTTCATTTTAGTGTACTCTATTACTAAAGAGGGTTATTCTTTAATTTCTCATTTGAAATGAAAATTACATTCAATAAAAGTTTCAAATTTCGATAGTAACTGAATTAATTTTTCATTTATGATTGTTTCGAACATTGTTAAATAATTTTTGAACATATATATTTAGTTGCTAATAATTTCTTATGATGAAAGAAGATAGAATACACAATTTATCCGTGAAACTCTCCTAGTATCATCTATGTGGAAATTAAAGTCAACAACAATACTACGAAATATACCATCAGCTTATTTAACATCGTGCCGTCTCCGATGAGCCACCTCGACATTCGCTATACCGTCAAGGAGATAGCTGATCATAGCAATTGTCGCGACGCAACTCCTAGGTTTATTTTAATGTAACAAATCTATTTGGTAGTGTTTTTTTTTTGGACAAATTAGAAGCATTTTCGTTCAAAATCGATTGAGGTACAAGTTGAACTCATTACAAAAGGGGGGGGGGATTAAATCTAGCACTTGGATCCATTGAGAAGGAAGGGTTCCTCTCGCAACTTCTTTAGCCACCCAATCTGCACACTTGTTCTGACTTCTTGGAGAAAAGCAGACCTTGAAAGAATCATCAGAGGTGAGGATTTGTCGCATGCAGTGAAGCCAAGACCTGACTTGCCATGGGCAGACAGCCCCGCGTCGACGAAGTGCATTAGTAAGAACCTAACAATCCGAGTACACAATAGTAGACTGTCCTGAAGAAGCTGCCAATCTAAGTGTGACTAATAGAGCTTTTCTTCCGCCAGAATCCATGTTGAACAAAAGAGGGGTCCAACCTTTTCGTCTATCACTTGTCCATGGGTATTGCAAATAACAACGTCATAAGTCGCCAATTGCGAATCATAGACAAAAGCTCCATCACAATTAATCTTCAACTGAAAGAAACTGGGCAGTGGATCAAGGTTAGAGCGAGGTGGATGGCGGATTTTTATATGAAGCGTGACAAAGTGATTCTTATGTTAAAAATCACAAAATTTAACAGAATTTAGTTCAGTTATCATTTTGCCATGGCTATGCTAATTTAGTGACCAGTTGGATATTTAGTCCAGTTTGATTGTGGCCTGTGGGGGAGGGTAAATGAGAAAAAATGAAGGGAAAGCGGGTGGGAAGTAGGGATGGCAATGGGGCGGGTTTGGGGCGGGTTTGCCTAAACCATCCCCATCCCCATCTTCAAATACCCAAACCCATACCCGCCCCATACCCATTCGGGGGAATGTTTTGCAAACCCATCCCCATACCCGTGGGTTTCGGGTACCCATGGGTAATACCCATCCCCGTACATCCAACATTATTATACCTAAAACTTACAAGAAAAGTTTTAGTTATAACCATAAACAAACCTATTATATCACGAAGTCAACAAAACACGGTCATTTTCTAAATACGATTCAAAGAATATGATCCTAAAACATCCATTAATACATAATATAGACTATAATATTTTTTAAATTATTATGCTCTAACTCTTGATACATTTACTAAGTAATAATTAACTAACATAATTTTGTTGACAAGGGGGAAAGTGAAAGAGTGGAAGGAGAATTGAGGGAAATGAATTAGGTTTTGATTAAGGTGGTTACTCAATTGCATTTCTACTATTTATTTTCTCGAGTTATCATCATCATCATTGATAGATTACAATTTAATCCACGTATTTTTTGATATGTGAAGAAATTCTCTTGGTGGGGCGGGTATGGGTATGGGTATGGGGCGGGGGAGGCTAAAACCATACCCGCCCCATACCCATCAAACCTTTTGCGGGTTTTACCCATACCCGCCCCATACCCGGTCAAAGCGGGGATTCCCCGCGTTGACTGGGTATGGGGCGGTCGGGTACCCGCGGCCATGGGTTTGATTGCCATTCCTAGTGGGAAGATGGAGTCAAGCAAGGCACTCAAAAGTCATCGCGCCTCCCAGGCAGCAGTCCAGTCTTTGGCCAAAAAAGCAATTGGCCATAACCCCCACCAAAAATCCACAGCCAGCGGCAGCCATTGTCGTTCCTTCTTTGACCCGATGAAGATTTTGAATGATTCATAACTCTCCTGAATCTTCCCTTTCACACCCATCGCCAACGAATACATCCCTCACCTCTTCTTTTCCTCTCTCCCCTTTTAGTTTCGGTCGTGACCTTTCATTTTTTCCAAACCTCCTTCTATACGCAGCTGCCGGCCTCTTTTACACGTCCATTGCAGAGTTCCTCCATCAAAGTTTTGTTCTTGGATCGGATTCCCAGCTCGGGATTCTTCATTATCTCAGGTGGGTCTTCGTTTTTGCCCTTCTCGAACCGAATTCTGTAGACACTTTAGGTCGTCGACGTGTTGAATTTCATTTCTTGAGTTAGTACTGTTGCATCTGTGCTTGTGGATTGGATTAGATTCCTTCAAAATTTTCATTCATAACTTGCTGAAATTTTCCCTCTTTCCATGCTGAATTTGCTTCAGGGGGTTTCTATGATTGTTTGATTGGAGGGTTTTAGAGTTCGTGGTGGCGGTACTCATGGATTTGAGAAGCTGTGAAATGGATGGTTGAGCAGCTTCTCTGACTAAAACTCATTTGGGTTTCCTTTTCAACACGATGATCAGAAGTCATATTTTCGAGTGCTGTATTAGAGTCTTGGTGTGGTTGCTATTGAGTTCTAAGTTTAGCCATGGAGTTCAGTCTGATATTGATTGCTTGAGGAGCATAAGGGAGTCTCTCCAGGATCCTTTCAATTACCTCAGTGCGACATGGAACTTCAACAACAATACCGAAGGCTTCATCTGCAAGTTCACTGGAGTAGACTGCTGGCATCCAGATGAGAACAAGGTCTTGAACATTCACCTCTCGGATATGGGTCTCAAAGGCGAGTTCCCACGTGGCCTTCAGAACTGCACAAGCATAACAGGCCTCGATCTCTCGAGCAACGAGCTTTCGGGACCTATCCCTGACAACATAGCTTCAATCGTTACCTTCATAACCAGTCTTGACCTCTCTGGAAACAAGTTAACGGGTTCAATTCCGTCTAACCTTTCGTTTTGCAGTTACTTGAATGTGCTGAAACTGGACCATAACCAGCTAACTGGTCAGATACCTGGAGAGATAGGCAATTTGAACCGGCTCAGGACGTTTAGTGTCGCCAATAACCAACTGTCTGGTCCTGTCCCGATCTTTCGCAATGCATCCAACACCATTAATGCAGATAGTTATGCGAATAATCCAGGCCTTTGTGGGCCTCCTTTGGAACGATGCCTTGGTGTCACGAAGAAGTCACACTCCGGAGCTATTATCGGAGGAGCTATTGCCGGGGCAACCGTGGTGGCGATCGGGGTGGTGATATGTTTGCTGCTCTATCTCCGTAAGGCAGGTGTGATTAAGAGTAAGAAGGATGACGATCCTGAAGGAAATAAATGGGCAAGGAGCTTAAAGGGAATTAAAGGCACAAAGGCAAGTTATACTAACGCATATTTGTTGGAATCTGGGGAGTTTATTATTCTCTTTCACCAATGATTCTCGTTATTTTCTTCTTATTGACTGAAAGATTGTTTGGGCATTTCGTCCAGGTTTCCATGTTTGAGAAATCAGTCTCCAAGATGAAACTGAATGACCTGTTGAAAGCTACTAACAACTTCCACAAGGAAAACATCATTGGTTCTGGGAGAACCGGGACTATGTACAAAGCCCTTCTTGAAGACGGGACTGCACTCATGGTTAAGAGGTTACAGGATTCTCAGCGCTCCGAGAAAGAATTTTTGTCAGAAATGGCTACTCTGGGGAGTGTGAAGCATCCCAACTTGCTCCCACTTTTAGGATTCTGCATAGCCAGCAAGGAAAGGCTTGTTGTGTATGAGAATATGGCAAACGGCAGCCTCTACAACTACTTGCATAGTGAGAATGAAGACAAAAAACCAATGGAGTGGACTCTTAGGCTGAAAATTGGGACAAGGGCTGCAAAGGGATTCGCCTGGCTCCATCATAACTGCAATCCACGCATCCTGCACCGAAACATCAGCTCCAAATGCATCATGTTGGATGCCAAGTTCGAGCCAAGGATATCTGATTTTGGTCTTGCAAGATTGATGAATCCGATCGATACCCATTTGAGCACGTTCGTGAATGGAGAGTTTGGTGACCTGGGTTATGTAGCACCCGAGTACGGTCGAACCCTGAGGGCAACCCCTAAGGGAGATGTGTATAGTTTTGGGATAGTCCTCCTGGAGCTGGTGACAGGTGAGAAGCCTACACATGTGAGCAGAGCCCGAGAGGATTTCAGAGGGAATTTGGTTGACTGGGTAGCTGAGCTATCCGCGAAAGGCCAACTCCATGACGCCATTGATCAGTCTCTGCTTGGGAAGGGAGTCGAGAAGGAGGTTTTCCAGGTACTGAAAGTCGCTTGCAACTGTGTGGTGGAAGGTCCCAAAGAGAGGCCTACTATGTTTGAGGTGTACCAGCTGTTGAGAGCAATTGGGGAGCAGTATCAGTTCACGGCGGAGGACGAAGTCACATTGCCTATTGACGGTGGTGATGCTGATTTCATCGAGGAATTGATCGTTGCTCGGGAAGGGATCCAGAGTAGTTGATGCGGGAAGAAGATTGCAGAGGTAGGTAGGGAAATTGGAACGAAGCCCACCACAGCTTGTGATGTAAATTAGTATATGAAATTGGTGTATGTTTGAAATAAAAACTGATGTTTCGTGTGTATTAATTATTTTCCCAGCACTTTCTTATTGCATGGTTGGTCACTGAAATTACAAAAAACGTTCACGTTTGGTCACTGGAAATATTTAAATCCAATCTTGGTCACTCAAATTATTTAAATGGTTCAAGTTTGGTCACTCTCCGTCCATTTCCGTTAACTCTAGCTTACGTGGCAGTCAACTTTCATAGTTGACCGTTAAATATGTGATGTGATAATTAAAAAATTATTAAAAATAAAAAAATAATCTTTTTATATTTTCCACCTCATTATTACATTATTTAACAAAATATATATATTTTGTCGGTAACTTGCGCCCCAGCGAGCCGCCCGATTCGCCCGATTGGAACTAGGTCTTTGCGCTTCCCCACAAAAGGCATGACTCGGCGAGCACGACGCTGGAAATCTCTGTTTGGGACGCTCCGACGGAGCAATTTCTCGGCGGTATTTGTTTCGACCTTTCTGATGTCCCCGTCCGCGATCCGTCGGACAGTCTGCTCGCTCCTCAGTGGTACCGTCTCGAAGGCGGTGAGCAAAATTCCGACAGAGTCTCCGGCGACGTCCAGCTCTCCGTCTGGATCCGGACTCAAGCGGACGACGCGTTCCCGGAGGCGTGGAGCTCCGACGCGCCGTACGTCGCTCACACCCGTTCAAAGGTCTACCAATCCCCAAAACTGTGGTACTTGCGAGTCACAATCATCGAAGCTCAAGATCTGAACATTGCGCCCAATCTTCCTCCGTTAACAGCGCTGGAGATCCGAATCAAAGGCCAATTAGGTTTCCAATCCGTCAGATCCCGACGCGGCTCGATGAACAATCACAGCGCGTCGTTTCACTGGAGTGAAGACATCATTTTCGTCGCCGGCGAGCCGCTGGAGGACTCGCTCGTCTTGCTGGTGGAGGCTGAGGCAGCGACAGAGGTGAATCGGCTGATGCCTCAAGGATGGCGAGCTGACGAAGTCGGAGAGGACCACAGGAGCCGCCTCTCTCTTTTTCGTTCCCTTCTCCGTTCGGATTTCCTCACTCTCCCTCTGTTTTTCCCTTCTTCTTCTCCTCGACTGTCTCTGATTTCATCACTATCGCCGTTGCCTCCTTGGTAGGGATTGCTGGGGATTGGAATGGAAATGGTTGGAGAAGGGTTAATGGTGGGGGAACCGGGAAGAGAGGTCGGAAAAGAGTGGTGGGGAAAGAGTACGGAGGTTGGGAATTTTTTCTTCTTCTTTCTATCAGTGCACAAAATATATTATTATTTTTAATTAATATAATAATGAGGTGGAAAATGTAAGAGATTATTTTTTTATTTTTAATAAATTTTTAATTGCCACGTCACATATTTAACGGTGAACTATGAAAGTTGACTGCCACGTAAACTAGAGTTAATGGAAATGGACGGAGAGTGACCAACTTGAACCATTTAAATAATTTGAGTGACCAAGATTGGATTTAAATATTTCTAATGACCAAACATGAACGTTTTTTGTAATTTGAGTGACCAACCATGCAATTAACCCCTTTACCATACTTCACCTTTGTATCGAAAAAGGCAGTAGAGGTACTGTAACCTCAGCCATTTTCTAGGAAAGCTGGGATCTTTACCTTACCGTTAAAAGTCGATATGAGTGTATGTGGGCACCGGGCCGTGCCGCCCACGGGTTAGCACGACACGTCACGGTTAGAGCACGAGCACGGGCACGAAATAAATGGGTCGGCTCGGCATGAGCACGAATAATTTATGGGTCGTGCGAGTCTAAACTTTATGGGTATGGGCACGGTATATAAGTGGGCCGTGTCGAGCCTAATATTTTCGAGACTTTATTGAGTACAAGAACGGACATGGCACAAAAATAATATTTATTTGATAAAAAATAAATATAAAAAGAACTATAGGTTCAAATATTACAAAACACAAGTAGAAAAATAATTATTTGTTGTTGTTAGAAGTGCCATACAGATATATACGTAAATACTAACATAAGTAAAAATGGACAAAGAATTAAACAAAGCCAAATCACACTCACTATACTTTCAATTTTCTTTTCCCCATTCTCTCTAAAAAAAAATCTTTTCCCCTTTGTTTGTTACTTTTCTCAAACATTATCGGTTAATACTATCTTCCTCCGTCCAATTTTCACCTTCTTTTTCATTCTCTCTTTTGTTTTCGTCCTTTTCATTAAACACGAATACGAGAATGACACGAGCACGAATAGGCACGACACGATTCGAACCGTGCCCGGGCCTGGGCTGGACCTAGCAAAGTTAAAAAAATTGGCTTGCATGGCACGGCACGAAAACTGACGGGCCGTGCCAAGAACGACACGAAATAAATGGGCCTGAAGCGTGCCTGTGCCGTGCCGGCCCAAGCACGGCCCAACGCCCATGTACAGTATTGAGTGGAAAAAGATGATCATCCGGTCACCTCCTCTTTTGAGTCGCGTCTTTTTTTATCCATCGAAGTCCACATCCACCTTCTTTTGTCGTTTTTCCTAGCTCCAGAGAAGCTTCTTAGTTTTGAATTCCCGCTTTTTTTTGGTCAACCTCCCTACATACCCAGGTTTGTACATGGGCGCTGGGCCGTGCTTGGGCCGGCACGGCACAGGCACGCTTCAGGCCCATTTATTTCGTGTCATGCCATGCAAGCCCATTTGTTAACTTTGCTAGGCCCGGTCCAGGCACTGTTCGAATCGTGTCGTGCCTATTCGTGCTCGTGTCATGCTCGTATTCGTGCTTAATGAAAAGGAAGAAAACAAAAGAGAGAATGAAAAAGAAGGTGAAAATTGGACGGAGGAATGTAGTATTAACCGATAATGTTTGAGAAAAGTAACAAATAAGGGGGGAAAGAAAATTGGAAGTATAGCGAGTGTGATTTGGCTTTGTTTAATTCTTTGTCCATTTTTACTTATGATGGTAATTACGTATATATTTTTATGACACTTCTAACAACAAAAAATAATTATTTTTTACTTGTGTTTTGTAATATTTGAACCTATAATTCTTTTTATATTTATTTTCTATCAAATAAATATTATTTTCTTGCCATGTCCGTTCTTATACTCAATAAAATCTCGAAAATATTAGGCCCGACACGACACACTTATATACCGTGCTCGTGCCCATAAAGTTTAGGCTCGGCACGACCCATAAATTATTCGTACTCGTGCTGGCCTGGCCTATTTATTTCGTATCCGTGCTCGTGCCATGCTTTAACCGTGCCGTGCTACCCGTGGCGGCACGGCCCGGTGCCCACGTACACCCAGGTTACTTGTAATAAAATGGGTGATGAAATGCAGGGGGAGAAGAATTCAGGGCCTTAGTTATATGTGTGTACTACGGAGGAAACGAAATTTTGCAAGAAGAGCAACACTACTGGATCCCCACTACGGAGCGGGATTTACAAATATATTGTTAGGGTGCGTTTGGATACAATGATTTGGATTTGGTATTTGTGATTTGGATTTCCAAATACCAAATCATGTGTTTGGATACTAATTCATTTGGTATTTGGATTTGTGTCAAATTCAGGGGTGATTTCCAAATACATGGTCTAGTGTATTTTTTGTCAACTCCAAATACTTTCAACAACTAGTGATTGAAATACCTCCTAACAAAAGAATGGACCTATTTGTAAAATATGAAAAGTTTAGGGTATTATAGTGTGAGGCAAAACATATAAAGGTACCAAAATGTAATTTTACCATCAAAATTTCAGGACCTTTTTGTAAAATTTTAAAAGTTTAGGTACTAAATTGCAAGAAAAAAATAAATTTGGGTACCAAACTGTAATTTACCAAAATTTGTAGTATGTGACCAGAAAATTAAAAATTGAAATTGAAAATCATAAAATACAAAATACAAACAAATTACAAATGAGTATCCAAACAACGAATTTGAATTACATGTATTTCAAATGTTAATATTTCAAATACATCCATTTCAAATGCTAGTATTTCAAATACCTTACATTTAAAATACACTTATCCAAACGCACCCTTATTGAATTCATACGAGAAAATTGATCTATGCTTTACCGCGAATTCTCGAAAATAAATCAACAAATTAACGTTGAAAAATAATATTATTCTTAAATAGAGATTACTATCTTTAGTGGTTTGTGAATAATCATGTATTAACTTGAGGCTCGTGTGCTTAATGGCTTGAGGGGGATAAATGTGGTTGGTTGTGTAGTGTGATCAAATGAGCGAGGCTTTTCTCTTGCCTAGCCGCTAGTTAGATAAGAAGGGATCACAAACTATCCTCTTGTCTAGTCGCCAGTCATATCCTTAGGCTGAGATTGCAGTGGCGACCTAGTAGACCTTTCTTGCGCCACAATCCAGCCTCTTTTGGGTTTAGAACTAGTATAACACATGTTAAATTTAGAATTTTATAGATTCGGCCTAGTGCTATTTAAAATTCAGCCTAGTACTATTTGATTGTTGAAAGGTCAGTCGGAATGGGCCCAATCAAATGATGAGATTCCTATTAAGTATCCGGTCAAGTGTTATTTAAAAGTCGGCGCAGTGTTACTTGATTGCTGAAAATTCAGTGAAAATGCACCCCCATCAAATGATGAGATCCCCTTTCCCTCTTCAAGAAAGGTGCTCCAAGCCTCCCCACAAACGTCGGCGCCCTCCATGAGTCGGAAATAGATAGCAGTTCAACAGCTCTCGCTCCACGCTTCCGTCGCTTCACTACCATCATCATCGTCACCCACGTTGACCTTCTTATTGTAACACCCATACATACTTTAAAACAGTCACATGATCGTACTGATTAAAACCTTTTAAAATTCTGTTTTGTTTACAAACCAAACCATAATTTACATAAACTTTGAATACTTCAAAACACATGACATTAGAGAAGACCATCTTCTCTCAAAATACTATAAAC